ATTTATTGCAGTGTACTTTTTTTTTTTTTTTTTTTTTTTCTCCATACTAGACTTTACTGCAATCTGGCTTCTGCCAACTTTTGGAAGAAGCTTTTTGAGGAGGTTTGTCATAGTGGGATTTTGCCCATGATGTTAACTTAATGGACTGGGCCGCAATATTTTCTTTTTAGGAAGCAATGCTCTTAATAAAACAATTAAAACAAACAAACAAACAAACAAAAAGTTCAAATGGCGATATGTAAGACAACTGCAGACTGCGTCCCTATAATTTTTAATTGATGTATAAAATATGTCCGGTCTCCCAACTTGGTGGAAAGCTGATATGATTGTTTATTTTCTGATTCCCCCAAAGGTTTTTGTTATTGAAATGAATTTTATTCTCCTGTGACTGATTAAACAATACTGGTTGAAGGCAGGTGCCTTCACAATACTGGTTGTATGGGTGCTGCTGCAGAAGGGCAGTATGTATTCAATGCCCTCTTTCAGTCCTGTAAGTGCTTTTGCATTTGACATGTGCAAAGGCTCATGGCACTCTGAGACAGAAAGCTTATGGTAAGGACAGTGGCCCTTGGTGGTGGGGATGTTGCATCTTCAGAAGGAAAAGCAGATTGCTGCAGAATGTGTGCCGAGTGATGCCTGAAAGCTAATGCACCCGGTCCCAGACCAGTTTGCAACAGCTTATCCCTTGAATGCCCACTAACACTGCAGACTGATGTATCTGTTATTTCAGGGGGCTGGCACCCGCGATGGGACCCTTATAAGGGTGATTGTTTCTCGAAGTGAAGTTGACTTAAATCTTATCAAGGCTGAATTCAAGCGGATTGCAGGACAGTCTCTCTCCAGCATGATTGTGGTAAGCAGCATCTTGATATAATAGCTCTTAGTCATCATGTGCATTCCTAACCTGCCCAGAAAAACATGACGTGGGCAAAGCCAAACCTGATGAGAGACTGCTCTAGGCTTTTCATGTGTTCTTCGTGATCTCCTAAATGAATCTAGATGCATTAAATTATCCCTGTTACATGTTTCCCATGCTGTGCCATTTTCTCTTTTCTGCTGTCCTTTACTACCCAGAACTAGTGCCGTGTAAGTCAAAGCAGTTGCGTTTTTATTTATTTATTTTAAACTGAGTTACCCCAAATGAAGGCCTGGTCCATGCTGTGGTGAGTTAAGTTTATAAACTGAACCTTGTCAAATCTTACTGTATTTTCTTGGTGCTTGAGTCTCAGCACTGGACAAAGGACCCTCCCCTAGCAAAAAGCCATGTTTTCTATTAGGGCTGAAAAGCTGGGTTTTATAATTTGTTGTATAAGGTCTCTGGGGCATCCCTTTCCCCTAGTGCAAATGGCACAAAAGCCCTATGCTTATCAGTTCCCATGGGACGTCTCATTCTGCAATGAGGGCCCTTTCTTCTAATTGACACTGTCAGTGTCTGTCATGTTGATTAATGATCAGTCTTCGAGGGTCTGTATGGAATATTCATTCCTCTGAGAAGTGGAAATGCCTTTATACCTGTCATCACAAAATATTCAAAGGGAGTAAAATTTCTGTCTCAGGATGTTCTCTGTAGTTCTTCTCTAGACCAAAATGACCATATTTGTGTCTTTCTTAAAAACATCCTTTTTCAGGGCTAACTGCTCATTCCCTTCCTATAAGGGAGGGAACACTACACAAATACTAGGGATGTAAAATCTGAACACAACAGTATTGGTTTCTCTTATTCGTGCTGACTTTTTGTGCCACTCTGTGGGATGGAGCCCTGATCAATTACTCATTGGGATTCAAAAGAAAAGAATTGGACTTGATAAATTTTGTTTCAGGTGGAAGATATGGGCTTCATTTCTGTTCACTTTTGATGGTTTCAGCTGGCAGTAACCCTGCTGAAATCTGGCTTGATTTTTTCAAAGTGTTTTTGTTGTGGGGGTATATCCCATCTGCTGACAAAGGCAGCAGCCAGTTTATTAAGAGGGACTTCTATACTCACCTTTTTTTTTTTTTTTAAAATTTTCCCCCTATCAGGATGACACCAGCGGTGATTACAAGACAGCCTTGCTAAATCTCTGTGGCAGTGACTGACAAAATCTAGGAGGAAGATGCTGAAATGGATACAGAAAGCAAATTTGGAGAATAAGTGCCTGAAAATGCACACACAGAAAATCCTTCCATTAATTCAAGGAGGGTGAGGGGGTGGAAGGGAGATGGGGTGGGTGAGATCAATTTATTAAAAATTTCCAATGCTCCATGGGAAACATGGATACTTAGTACACATTAAAAACTGTTTACTTCCATAATGGTTTTAAAAAAACTTCCGTTTGTGTTTGTTTTTTTTTTGCTTCCATTTCATTTTGTGCAATTTCTCTTCTTTTTTAATGCATTGTGAAGGACAGAAATCTCTGATCCTTTAAGTGCTTGTTTCTAGCAATTTCCCAATTTCTCACGTGGACTAAAAAGTGACTAAGCATGAAGGAGGGGCTCTTTGCTCAGTCTTTGTGGGGTGTGGGAGAGCTGCACAGCTAGATGATGCCCCCCAGTCAGGGGAACATCCTGCTGTGGTGGCATGCCATTGCCAGATCCTCTGGACTTCCTCCAGTTCATGAGCCCCGGGCTTCTTCACCTGTCAAGAACTGATGAACAGACTCTTAACACAGAAACTGAGGTTTAAGCAACCTTTAGGTGAGATACAAATCATAAGCTCCTGGGCATGTTCCTCAAATACCGCCCAAACATCCTGAGGCACAGCAGAATCAAGACTTTGTAGTAGCATGTACCAGACTCACTACACTTGGTCTCGGCTCTTTTATCCACTTTCCACATTGTGCCTGAACAAGCAATTCTGGCACAGGGACAGATTTCTTTTATGAACTCTTGACAGTGCCTGGTATGATGATACCCTGATATCTGACTATTGGTCAGCCCTAAAGACATGGAGATGAGGAAAATCTTATTATGATTAATAAGTAGATTTCTGGGGACATAAATGTTTTTCTTTTAAATGGGGATGATGCATATCTTTCTAGTTTCAGGGAGGGATCTATTTTCAGTAAATAGAAAGGCTGTCTTGTCAAAACAAAAATGACTTCTAAAAATAACATTAAGTAAAATACAAAAGTTGTCACTGAAATATATTTTCAACCATACTTTTCAGTGGCCTGGGTTGCAGATTTCATGCTCTTTCTGCTAAGTCTCTTTCTCACCCCTAAAATCAGAAGCTTCTTATGCAAATGTTCTAAATGGAAAAACTGTGGGTTTGTTTTTTTCTTATTTTTCCTGGGAAAATATTCACCCAAGTTGAGTCATAAATGTCCTGGTTGCTACTGGTGAATAACTAGATTTTCGGTTGTTTTTACAGACATTAGTGAGAGAGAAAATTGCCTTCATTGCATATTTCTGAACTTCCTGATAGTTTCGTATTGTGGTTGATTTTTTATTTTCAACCTCAGTTTATCTACGCTGAGTTTATCTATTCGTTCCCCCTGTAACTGCTAGGTCTATTAGCATGTATCACCTAACCTCTCACCAAATATTTTTAATTCCCAGGCCTTTTAATATCTCCCCCAGGCTCACTTTTTTGGGGGGCTGTCCCAGTTTTTCTAACGGGACAGAGGTGCCGCAAGCACTCATGGAGCACCACTGAGGTGCTGCGGGTGGTGCAGAGCTGTACCCTGGCTGCCACCTGCCTCTGCCCAGGCATGGTGGCCTGCTCCAGGCACCACAGCCCAGGGTCCTCCTGGTTTTCAGGACACCAGCTCCCAGCCGGCCCTGGCAGCACCCCCGAAGGAGCCGCTGCAGGGAAAGCCGTGCCGGCACCACCACCTGCTGGGGGCCGGCCGCGCTGCACCCCGCCGGGAGGGACCAGGCCTCAGCGCCCGGCGGCGGGAGGGATGCGGGGCGAGGAGGAGGACGAGGCCCTGCTCCATGTCCAGCTTGGCGTTGTTGAGCTCTCGGCTGGTCTAAATCCTGTGGTGTGTCCTCTGGCCGTGTCCCCCTCCTGACACTGCACCTCTGCTCTGGTCCGCTGACTCTCACCCTGCAGCTGTGTGCCTCTGTGTGGCACAGGGGCTCTGCAGAACTGCTGTCTTCTGACCAGATCCCCATGATGAGGCGTTAGTGAAAATAGGAGCCAGAGCCTCTATGTTTTGGGTGTTTTGCAGGACAGGCCAGAAGGGAATTTGGAACTGCCAAAGCAGGGAGTGTGAATGATGTAAATAGTTTGTACCCACAATGTCTGCATTTCTGGAGGCTGGGCAGGCAGTGAGACCAGTGACCCCAGCTGCAAGGGATCATAGAATCATTAAAGTTGGAAACAGCCTTCAAGATCACCTGGTCCAGCCATCTCCCTACCACCAATATCACCCACTTTCCTTTCTGAGCAATGTACCTATAGAACTTGAACCGTCCCTGCCCTACTAGCCATCTTCCTACATCCCCTTACCAACCAATCCACACAAACATAGCATTCACCCCTTGCCTTAACTCTCAGGAATCACAATCTATCCTCAATAACAACACAGAGGCCAGCTAGGATGTTGCCAGTTTCTTCTTCGTCACCTGAAAAGAGGAGTCACCCAGAGGCAGACCAATGGACTACTAAACAAACAAAAACAAACAAACAAAAAAAAAATCCCTGTTCTGTGGGTTTCAGTGAAACTTTTGTACTTAAATCATCCTGGAGCCCCTGTACCTGGTTACTCAGGCCAGAGGCTGGCTTTCTGTGCTGATTGGCACGTGCCTAGTGCGGTGGGCTTGGGTGTGATGGTGGTGCCCACATACCTACAACAGGCCAGGAGGTGTTAGGTGAGGTGCCCCAGGGCTCACAGGTGATGGGATCAGCTGGGGAAGGAGGAACAACTGAGAGAAGCTGATTCTATCAACATAATTGCTGGGAAACAAAGCAATTGTAAAACATCAATAAAGATTTAATTACATATTGATTGCTGCTAAAATGTTCCCCGGGTGAACAGGTGCTTTAATAAAGCGGAATCAATTCCTAAGCTGTTCTAACCAGTCTTTTCCAAATGCAAATGTTGACTTAGGGCCTTTCTATTCATCCACAGTTTAATTAACACAATTTTATTGCACAAAAATCAAGATAAACTCGGCAAAGCAAAAGGCAACACAGCCTCTGATGGGGGCACTGCAAGAAATTCTCAAGACTGGTGCATGCCTTCTGCCACGCTAGCCCTTTTCCAGCCCTGCTGGCTGCCTGTGCTGTGGTCAGAGCTGTGCATGTGGAGCTGGGGAGCTGCCCTGCTGCACCTTGCTGTGCCCCCTGGCTGGCTGCAGGTACTGACTGCATCTCTGCTCAGTTCATGACTGGGTGTATGTGGTGATGGTTGAATCTAGCTACTATCTCTGTTTGTGATCCAGATGAAAACTCGCAAAAATCTGTTCAAGGTATGATGTCAAGGCATGTAAATTAAAATACGTTTAACCCCAAAGGCTCCAGTTCCAGAGACAGGTGGTGAGGTAGTAATTGCTTGATTCTTCCAGCATCCCAGTACAGACATAGCCTAGAATCCCAAAGAATGACCACAGGATCCCCAGGCAGTGGCCAGCCATGGGCAAGAGAAGGCCCTGCAGAAGAGGTGTCTCATTGCTGGTACTTCTGGAGAGCAGAGGAAAAGATTGGGTAGGCCTGGGTTCATTTGCATTTCTATTTTGCAATAGTTTGCAGTCATCTGAGGGTAAAGTATATTTAAGTGTGTAAATTGAGGTTAGTAAAGCCATCGTTCCTGTTGGGAAGTGAAAAAAGACATCAGCAAATATCTGAGGCAAAGTGGGAGTTTTCTTTCCCATCTCCCCACCCTTAAGATTTTTTTTTGTGGAAGAAAACATGAAAATGATGTTCAGTCTTCCTGGCTCCCTGTGGTTTCCCCAGCAGTGCATGGAAGTACCCCTGGGTGGTGTATAGTGTTGAGCTGGAGCTGGGGGGTCTGGGGAAAGAGTTCCAGGTGAGGCACGAGAGCTGGCACTGGGGGATCTGTGGGGCAGCCCAGACAGCAGCCCTCCTCTTCAGAGCAGAGGGTGGGTTTGCTAAAATGCAGGACAGCATGGTGTGCAGGGAGCTCCATAGGGAGGTGGGTTATGCTAGTGTGTACAGTCCCATTGGTCACTCTGTGATGGGCAGAAGGGAGACCCAAGGGGGGAGCATCCTCCATGCTGGGCAGATGGAAGCCTTACTGGATGGAAATGTAGGCTTTTTTATTGTTAAATTCATAAATTAATGGTGAATTAGTGTCAATTTGTTATTGTAATGTGCCATGGTGAGGAAGTACTGCCTGCCACAGGCATCCAGATGAGATAAGAGAGTCTTCCAGTGTTGAGGGTTTTCATCTGGCTTTCTTGAAGGAGCCCATTTTTTTGACAAAGTCACCATCTGTTGACAAAACTGGAGGTCTTCCTTGTGGCCTATTGGATGGTGTCTTCCCTGCAAGGGAAGACAGTAGAACCTGTGAGATGCAAAGGTGGGATTATGCCAAAGACATAGCGTGTTTTCCTTCAACTTCTGCCCTGAACCTGAATGCCCAAGCTGACTTCAAAACTCTTCAGTCTTGTAGTGGTCAGGGTCAGTAAGTGCAGCACTTCCCCGTGCCTGGGATACCACAGCAGCACAGAGATGTTTTGTTCAACGCAGTGCAGTGACCTCTTCTCATGACCACATGTAAACAAGGTCACTCCATCATTCCCATCACTGCAAACAATACTGGGCTTATAAGTAGTTGTCGTTCAGTCTTCTGGTGTCATATATCTGAACTCAAAGGACTCGTTCCTGAGTTTCCAAGAAGTTATCAGTAGAGAATTTGTTGTTTACTAAATAAACTTATGTTAAGCTGCAGGAAAAAAAATAAATAAATCATAGTTTGGGATTTATATTCAACTGTCCTCCCAGAAGATGATAGAAACAGTCAGCCTTGGGGACCTGGGCTCCTGTCTATTTGGCAGAAAGTATGATATGTTCAAGCTGTGCTTCTGTTTTCCCAATATCCCTTCCTGTTCCAAATCTCAGTTAGTCACAGTGCATCTGCATCGTGCTTTGGACTGCTCACGTCTGTTGAAGGCTTAGGACTGGCATTTATGTCAGAAAGTCGTGTACCTGAGACCGAAGGGTGGTGTTGGTATGGGAGTTCAAGTCTTCTGGATACTATTCATTACGCTTCGAATTTCTTTGAAACTTGAAGAATGTATATGGTGGTATTTTTCTATGGTGTATAAGGCATGTAGATACTCCCAGTGGTTTTATAATCCTGAGAAACCTTTTCTGCATTACTGGCTAGATAAAAGTACTTACTACAAAAGAAATGCAGGCTTCTTTAGACTCTGTGCATGCAGGAATCTAACATTTGGAGAAATAAATAGCTCTGGATCCCACAGAGGAACCAGTACTGTTCTCTCTGTGGTAATGAAGAACAGGATATGTTGTAGGCACAATATTATTAATAAATAGTGAGCAATGCAATACAACTCTGTAATTCAATTAAGGATTTCAGCTGAAATTGCTCTTTGGAGTTATAGATGACAGTAAGCTTTGAAATTGAGTTACAGTCCAAGCAGGAACTGAGTCATGTGTGGCCATGTTCAAGAGTAGGATCACAATCAGGACTGGGCAAAATGTCACTGACAGTAGTGTATTCACTGAAAAATGGCATCTGGGGGACATAAATTAAATTAAACTAGGCTTATAAATAAATGTCAGACAGCAAAATAGGGAAAAATCAAAGTCAACATTTCCATGTATTGATTTTAAAATGGCAATTTTATTTCAAAAAAACATTTCATGTTGAAAAACAATTGTTTAAAGGTTTCATTAATCTGAACCTGAGACATGACATTTTGGAGGGGAAAATGCTTAATGTTTCAGTTTGCATCAGAATATATATTTTTTAACTTTCCTATATATCTCCTAAATTTGTATTTTAGTTTAAGCCAACCAACCTGTTTCCCCTTCAGTTTTGTGGTTCAGCCACTGAGCAGAAGATCTCTTTTAGCCATAATAAAAGCTGATGTCCTTTATAAGGGAGGAAAGACTGATTGCTTTAAACTTCACGAGCTGTCCTCTCTAACAGAAAAGACCGGTGTAGGGAGAGCTAAATTCTGCATGAGTTTAACAGTAAAAAAAAACCAACTCACAGAAGAGCTAGACAAAAAGAGAAGAGTACAGCTGATGCCAACCTCTACTTTTGCCAGAGCTCTCAGATCAAAGGTTATGAAGCATATCATAATCACCAAGCAGCTCTTCTGCCCTCATCTGTTAGTTGGTTTCCCTTTACTTTCCAGGTTTTTTGCCCTAGCCTTCATTACTCTGCTAGGAAGCAACAGACAAAATGACAAATATTTTTGTAAGAAATACCAAGTCATGGTCAGCTTTCTAGTTTGCAGCAGGAAAGGAGCAAAAGGAAGGTGTAGAAATGTATTCACTCTCTGTGCCAAGCAACTACAAATGCAGCTTATTGTTCAGAAGCTATTCAGTGCCATTTTTTCCTAAGCTAAGATAATATTAGTTCAATACTCTGCTATCCTATAATCAAAAATAATAATAATAATAATAAAAATCCTTCATAAATAAATAGAGATACCACTTTTCCTAAGATCAATCATTCCTATTAGTTCAAGCAATTACTGCTTAGATACAACAAGATCTCATAGCTTTTTCCCATACCATCATCATCTCAGCCTTAGCTCTTTTCTTGCAGGCAAGGCAGACAAGGGTTTCGAGTCCCCACATCACACATTAGTGTCAGAGTCCAGGGCTGAAATGAAGAATGTTCTGCAGTGTTTGCAAATCATTATACAAATCCATTTATTTCTTACTGCTTCTCACGATTTTGGGACTGAAAAAATAAAATAAATCCCTACACAAGGCAGTTTTTTGCTCTGCAGATTTGATAGCTCTGTATTTTTAAAGCACAGCTGTGTTGCCATGACTAATGTGCTAACTGTAAAAGCCACATAGAGGTACATCTTCTTGGAACTGTCTTTAATGAGGTTAAATCAATTAATTTCAGGAAAGTGTTCATATGCCATGATAAAAGCTGTTAAATAAATAGGATTTTCAAGCAGTAAAGAACAAGATCTGTTTCTTCTGAAGCACTGGATATTGCCTAGAGTAAGAAACTGGTGATCCAATAAGATACAGTTTGTAAGCACTGAATTAAGTCTCTAGTTCAGTTCCCTTCCTTCTTTTTTTTTTTTTTTTTTTTTTTTTTTTTTTTTTTTTTTTTTGACTAGATCATCCTGTAAGAAATCACAGCCACACTACTTACCTTTTTTCCTGCCAAGTAATCTGGAAAAGCTAGTCAGACAATATAGGACCCTGAAATTCAAGGCTAAATTCAAAGAGCTTGACAAGATCATCTATCTTCATGTACATAATCAACTGTCTTACAGCTGCTTCCCAAAGGAAATGAGACCTGGCAACAAGCTGGAAGAGCTGCGGGTGTGTTTTTGTTGTTGTTGTTTCTGGTGAAGGATAGGGAGAGAAGTCTCTTCTTAAATGAGCCAAGCACCAAGTAGGCATTATTACTTTTTTCCGGTTCCCTAGTGAACTTTTCACATGTTCTAATGGCAGGTCATAGCCACTTCGTTAAATGTTCTAGTGACAGTAAATACAGCAAAAATAATTGTCATGAATGCATTATGCCTTAAAGCTCTCTCACTAGGTTAGGAAAATTGTGGTTAAAAACTGTGGCATTTGGATGACCTTCCTTTTGCTGTTCTTCCAGCTAATACTAATACTCAATTCTAATATAAATAGAGGCAAACATTTGTGATAATAAACTTTCAACCTCAGTCACTGACTTGTTTATAGCGAGGTTGGTACTTGAGGGATCCAGTGTAATTTAAAAGGCAATAAATTGAAACAAACTCACTCCATTTTGGAGGCTGCTTATGAACTCTTTTAATTTGGTGTCATATTTATTTGGGGAGAATTAGATTATCCTATTCATTAGATGCAGTGGCTGGTGATGAATGGAACAACATTCCCCATCAATGGCATTAATTGAATCCTTGCAAGCACAGATAATATCCCTGCAGGAAACAGGAGAAGATGGAAAAGTTCTCCAAAGGTCTGCAAATACTACAGTGAAGAGGGAGCACTACTGGGCAGCCGTGGTTATTGGCAGCAGTTGAATGCTTTTCATTTTTTGTGAGACTACTTAACAAGTGGTTATGATCTCTAGGCATACAACGAAGACCAGATCCCGTGCAGCGAGGCATTGCACGAGTACATGTTAAGGGGAAACTCCTGCTTCAAGGCTGAGTTTAAATAGAAAGATCCCCCAACG